GCGCCACCCTCCATTTTCATCCTCTTCGTCCTCTTTCTTTCTTCGATTTTCTCTTCGTCCTCCGTCCTTGTTCCTCTTCCTCCGGCCTCTTTTTCGTCCCCCTGTTGCTTCTTCTTTCCCCTCTTCCTCATCATGTTTCATCCTTTTCAGCCTGCCTGCCTGCCTGCCCCCCTCCTCCTGCAGCAACAGTCGAGGTCATACCATGTGTCTTTCTCGCGTCAGCATGGTTGCCGGAAGGCGAGGTGGCGGCAGAGGTACCCGAATGCTTATCTCGGCATCAGTCCAAGACAGACGTGTGCTCCACCAGCCACTAGAGGCTTTGAAAGGCTTAGGAACAGGACTGGAACACCGTAGGTCCCTGCTGGGGGCCTCCAGAGGTATCCAGAGGATCTCGCTAGAGGCCGCTGGAGTCACACACAGAACAAGCAGATTTCAATCATGTCGATCATCCATGCCTCCCCCGGGCTTCGACGTTTCTGTTATTCGACATCCGACGTCGTAAGGTGAGCTGTGGAGTATTTCCGAGCCACGCCCCGTGAGCTAAGGAGGAGCGCGGCACAGCCAAGCCCCCCCCCCAGAGTGTAGATTCGCATCCAAACATGCCCATGAGTTGATGCACGGCGTTGCATCCACAACGGTTCAAGCTCTGACTCCCTGAGGTGATAAATTCGTCATGATACGAACGAGGCCTTCTGTTGCCAAGACGCTACCCCGACGTTGCGGCGCGCGGTCGAGCGGGTGTGATCATCCTTGTCTTGAACAGCCTGCGGTAGCGCGACCGCGGCGATGGAGGCGCTGGAAAAACGAACTCGGGTCCGGGCGGGCGAGGTGACCAAACACCAGCATCGGGGGTTGCCTGGCCCATGGTGCCCCCAGCTTCCCACCCCATTTGAGGGCCCCTGGGGCCCCCTGGGCCTCGTGAGGGGTGCTCTGGAGGTTGTGGGGGCCTCCATGGAGATCCTGGGGGCACCTCGGGCCAGGGGCACGCAGGTGCTGACGGAGCATAATTTTTTCCATTCGCGGCTGACCCAGGCAGGGGACCACCTCGCGGCGGTGCTGGCTGCGGGCACGACGAATGGCGGCGGTGTCAAGCGGGGACGGCCGACCACCTCTTCGACCCAGACGGTCGAAACGTGGCTGCTGAACAAACCACCCGTTCTTAGGCTTCCACGCAGGGGGGGGGCGTTAAGATTCGACTTCGAGGCTTACGCGTACGCGTTTCACCCCAGATTGGGGGACCTGATCAAGCAAGCAAGCGTCTCTGCGGCAGTGGTTACGCCGCTGGACGACACGGGCCGCGCGCTGAACATGCAGCTGTATTGCGTCATTGTGCCGGTGACGCCGGACGTGGCGAAGGTGGGTATCAGGAGGGCTACGAGAGGCGACGGGCTGGGCGAGTTTTCCCCGAAGGAAGCAAACAGGTTCGCGGTCGTTTTTGAATGCATCACCAGGTACGAGTTCCCATGCCCAGTGATGGCGTCCTTCGCAGAGCTCGAGCGGCTCATTGGGGAGTGCGCGGGTCAGTCGGGCGACGTTTTCTCGGGCATCATGAAGCGTCGTACTGGCAGGCATCAAAATCGAGAGGTTCGCCGAACCCCGTAGCCTCAACGCATCGCGGTTCGCGGCACCCACGGAGCTGACGGTCGAGCTGTGGCAGATCTTCTCGACTTAAGCGCTGGGCATCGCAAGATTTAGGGGGCGACGGTGTGGCGCCCACGCAGGTCGACGCCTTCGGCAGCGCAAACGGCAAAGGCAAGGGCGACAGCAAGGGCAAAGGCATGGGCGTCCCCAGCGGCAGGAAAAGCGATGGCAAGGGCAACAAGGGTGACTCCAAGGAAAAGCGCCGCTGGGTCCGAACCTGCCGCTACAGCGAGAGGATTGGCCACTTGGTAGCGGACTGCCGCAAGAAGGAGGCCGACGAGAGGAAGTCAGGAAGGTCGCAACGTTGACGGATGCCAGCACCAGCCAGAGCACCCTGGCCACAACCTTCACCAGGCTGGAGCATCTTCCCAAGTATGCCTTGCGCCCGCTCTGTCAGTGGACGTCGCGCATGTTGCTGCGGTCTTGGCACAGTCGCAGCTGCCGCAGCCGCGGCGCGGACCGCCGTCTACAGCAACGACTTCGCGCGTCGCGAGCGCCCACGCGCGCGACGAGGTTTTCGGCGCGCCCGAGGAGTATAGGATCGCGGGCATGATCTACGACCCCACGCAGCCCGACGCCTTGCCAGCTACCTTCATGGAGACGATCGAGCGCGACCGTGCGCTCTTCGACGCAGGCTCAGGCTCGGCGACATGCCCGACGGACTTCGCGACCACGACAGAGCTGCCGCCAGCGGAGCCGCTTCCCCCGTGCGAGCTGGCCGCTGGCAACGAGGTCGAGCTGGCAGGCGCGCTTGCCGCCGGGAACCAGGGGCTCCCCCTGCAGATCCAGTTCCAGGTCGCGAACTTCATGCGAAAGCGAGCGGTCGCGCGCTTCGACGCTGTCACCGACTGGGGCCGCGCGCCGATCGCGGGGAAGGGCCCGCGCGCCCTGCTGGCCGCCGGCCGCGAGCTTGAACGGCGTCGAAGCGGGCGTACCTCATGACTTCGGACCGGGAGAGCCACCGCGAACGCCGCAGGGCCAGGCCGAGGATGTGAACGGCGAGACTGAGTGCGACCGCAGCGGCGACGGAGTCTTACATCCCTGGCGAGGCTGCGGCGGCGAATGCTAGAGGCGTTCCAGTGATGCCAGGTCGAGCAGCTCGAAAGCAGCATCGACGCGAGCACTGGCCATTCCGAGCCCGGCGCTCGACCTCGGAGAGCGGGGCGCGGCAATGGGGGCCCGCGCGCGCGCCGAGCAGACCTCGCGCGGCCCATCCCGCTCGCTTGCGTCGGCCACTTATCCCTCGGCAACTCCGCGGGGGGGCCCGACGGCGGCCCCGAGCGGCGTGGGTCGCGACGAGTACCTCGGATGTCCCGCTCAGGGCGACTGCGCGACGCTGCCTCGTCGAACGTTGACCGAGACGCGCTGGGCGACCGCCCCTGGGCGCGCGGGGGCGACGCAATTGGCCGCGCTCTAGATCGAGCGCGGCGGCGAGGCCGCCTGCCGGGACTGGGTGGAGCGGCGCATCGAGCGCGCGAATTGAATGTCCTAGGAGACGGCGGCGATCGAGATGAGGCGCGCGCGAGATGGGCTGGCAGACATGGCTTCCGAGATATGCCGGGGCGCGCTAGAGGGCGCGAGAGAACTACGATTTATCGTCCGCGAGCTAGTCCAGAACATGCCAGCGCTAGTCAGACCGAGCTGGCCGTGGACGGAGGACGCGGGGCCCCTGCTGCCAGTGCTTGAAGGCGCGGCTGGGGGCGCCCCTATTCTAGGCTGCGGAGGGCGCCGCGGCCTGGGCCACTCCCGCACGCAGACTCGCAGTCAATGCGTCGAGAGCCCGACGCAGGCCGAAGATGAGTGATGGGGGGGAGCAGCAGGGGGCTGCTGCGTGAGGAGCAGGCGCAGCAGCCGCTGGCCAGCGGCGCCAACCGCAGCGGGGCCCATCAACTCCTGCGCCGCCACCGAGCCGACGGCGCCCGCGGCTGACGCAGCGCCCCAGCCCCAGCCGCCTCTCGAAGCCGCCCGAGAGGTTCGACGAGCGCGGCGGTGGCAGCTGGGGGGCGACGCGCAGCCGATCGTCATGGAGGAGGACAGCCCGATGTCGGGCGCGGGCAGGCAGCGCCCTGGGCCTGAGCTCCAGGGCCAAGCCGGAGACGATTGCGCGACTGTTCGCGAACGCGTCCATGGCCTCGCTCGTCTCGGCGCGCAACCCTGAGCCGATCGACGCAGCGGCGACGGAGATCCCGACCGAATGCTGCAACCGCGAGAACGCCGACCACGACGCGCGCGGCGCGTGGACGTGGAAGGGGTTGACCCTCGCGCCGGGCAATGTTGGTCGAGGAGCGGGAACGCCCGAGGGACGGGTTCCAGGTCTACCACGAGTTGCACCTCTCCAAAGGGCAGCGCGCGAAGGGAAAGTGCGTCGATGACGACGGGGTCGACGACAATGGCGCCCTGTTGGCCCGCCCGAGTTTCGCGAGGCTGCAGTTCGCATGAGACGCGTGGGGTGGCCAGCCTCTGTTCCGTGACCTGGCGCTTTGCGAAGTCTCCGTGGCCTTCCCCGCGCGCGCACCGACCGGAACATCCTTGCGGCGCCTCCGCGATGCGAAGAGGCGGAGGGCATCGTCCACTTGCTGGCGCGGTCGCTCTGCTGCACGAAGAAGGCGCCATTCCTTCTCCAGGAACTGACCCTGGAAGCGATATATCGAAGGGGGGCTTTGCCTGCTTGGCCCTCCTTTGACATGCCCTGGGCGTTTGTTTAGAAGTCTGGTTTCTAAGCTCCACACGTTGGACATCGCGTCTCGGGCGCATCCAGGTCGCGGCAAGAACTCCAGGCGATGGAAACGTTATCATGCTTTGCGGTGTGAGTTCCGTTCGTTTTGGCGTGATCTGCGTCGTTCATCGTTGCCGTCCGCCGCGCCTCCAGTTCCCTCTCCTTGTCTTCTCTGGTCGTCGCTGCTGGCCGATCGCGGGGCATCCCAGCCTGATCAGCGCCAGTGCGGCGCCTGTGTCGGGCATTTAAGTTGGGGGGGGGGCGAGGGGCGGCGGGGTCGGGGGGCGGGGGCGAGGGCAGCGGAGACAAGGGGCAGTTCTTGTCAGGCAAGCAAGGCGAAACACGCCAGAACATACATATCCACAGCGACGAGCCCACATGCGGTTTTGCTTTGGTCTGCGTTTTTTTTTGGCTCGCGAAGAGCGCTACTTGTAGGCCAGGAATTCCCCCCGGGGCCTGGCGAGAAAAATAAACGCATTGCCAGGGACCACGTCACGGCGCAGGCTTACCACCAGATGGAGCGGGAGTTGCTTGCTACCTTGCGGGGGGCGCAGACTGGCGCTCGAGTCGTCATGGCCCCGGGCGAGGGGCGCGGAGGTCCCGGCCAGCACGACGCTCAACCAGAGGGTCGGGGGCCAGCTCA